TTTTTCCAAAGAGATTCCACGTGTGAATTTTGTAAAGTGCACGATGTAAACAAAATATGGAAATGACATGAAAATCGAGCCTCACCATAAGCGACTGCCGCGAAAAATCCCCAGGGGATTCGCCCACGTCCCAGATTATGACGCCTTCCTGATTTACTAACTTTTATATGAAAATACGTTTTTCTTAATAACTCGGGTGTTTTTTAAAGATTTCGGAAAATGTTTTTATGCAAATGTTAGGTTGAATGTTTGAATTCTGTGTAGTCAAATAAAAGAAAATCAATTTTTTCGGCCTCTGAAGGTGGGAAGTAACCTTAGACAAAAAGAAAATATCTTCTTAATAGCCGGGTTCTTTATTTACATACAGCTATTTCATATTTACAACGAGGCAGCCTATTTAGATAATAGCGATTTATTTGGAATATACCGTTATATTCCTTCTAAGCTTTCAAGAGCTGACCTGGAAAAAGTGTTTCAGTATAGCAAGGACTGAGCAAGACTAAATTAGAGAGTAAAATTACTTCCAACTTAGAAAGGCTATTGAACCTTGCTTTATACTAATATGAGTTCAAAGTTAAGAAACCAGGGAGACGCAGACGCTTTTTATTAAATTTTGCAAGAGCTATCATTTCTTTCCCTTCTCTCTTCTCATTTTCCTTCATCCTCTGCCTCTTAACAGACAGCACGAGCTGCTTTATCGCCGTCATCTGTAACAAATTCGTTCTCTTTGTGGTCCCCATCAACATCATCCGTTACAGCGCGGTTTTCGTAAGTATGAGAGATTTTTGTAATGTCTTCTGTCTGAACTGAACAGTCGGCGGTGTGAACTAGAAGGAGTAAGGTGCATTCAAAATATTACTAAAAGTGTAACGGAATTATCCTATCTCTGGAGATAAAGAAATTGGCGCAAAATAGGTACATCGGGTGATGTTTTTGGAAGGAAGACTTTTCAGGACTTTCAGGAAATGTAGAGGACGTGGTGAACCCCAGCAAGGTCCTATTGCTGGTTTTCAGTGTCACGCCATTCAAAATAGATCAAAATAAAAAATAAAAACCGTTCAATCGATTTAGTCTAGAATCTGGAAATAGAAAGAGGCTAGATATGTAAAGACTCTCGCCAAGATTCAGGTCACAGCAATTTTTCTTACGGAAGATATGAGGAGAAACGTTTTTCCCAAATTTATAGAGATTTGTATGGAGCCGCCATGCTGGTGCCCACCTAGATGGGCACCAACATGGCGGCCGGAAACCAGCAGAAACATCTGTCACTGAGTTTTGGTACAAAAGCGTGAATTTATCTCTCTAAGAACTCATAAACGTAACAATAATACTTTATTCTAATACAAGAACTGTTCAGATAGCTGAATTTCCCTAAATAAGTCACCTTTTAAACCAACATAACAGCTCTCTCGCTCGTCATGTAAAGGCCACGTCACGCAAAAGCTTAGAAATTCAAGAGTAGTCTATCACTAAACCAAGAACCCATTTGGAGTGAAAATTTGTCTGAATATTAGTTTTTAGCTGCTCTAATACATCATGAAAGTAAAATCTCAGGAGGATCAATAGTTCTGAAGTCTGAAATTTAGTGACGTCACGTGAAAACCAGCAATTAATCTCTTACGGGATGCCCAGAAAAAGTAATTATCCATGACAACAAAAAAAAAACCTGGTATGCCGACAAGTGTTCTTTGGTTGGTCGTATTAGTAAGAGCTCTTACTGGGTCAAGAGGGGATAGAAAAGCAGCCGAGTCTGAAGAAATTTATATGAAGAAACACCTGGACTCTTATTCAAGCATGTTGTGGTGACGACTAAATGTTGTTTACAGTAACAGGAAGTCCTATCGTTTTCTCTCGTAGTAACCCATTGTAACTGTACTCGAGCAGTGGTGGCCCATGCAGCTGGAGTTTATCGTGATTTCTACAGCATTAAGTGACCAGAAGTATTTTAACTCCCTCCCTGACAGGATGCCAGTTTACCGCCAGGCTACCCCCAGCGCTTCATTAGGCCTCCCTAACAATTCGTCGCTACCCATTTATACTCCTGAGGGGAGATAAATACGGTGAGAGTTACGTGTTTTGGCCAGGAATACAAGACAGTGACTCTACCTGCAACTTATGGCTACTCATATACTCCAATCTCTTTCAATTACTGAGTAAATCGTGTGCCATTTACTTGACTTACCTACTTTCTTACACTTCATGGTGGCCGGAAGGAAAGCAACCACAGCTAAGAAACCCAGTAATGACGCAGCGCCTGGTACCACAGAAAACGCGTATCGGACATACTCAGCGGTGGCTCTGCCGAGATACGTCAAGAACGTGTTACGTCAATACTCATTAAAAAAGTTATATGTGTTACTTAATTCCGTGTTACGTGCTCACGTGTAAAGCGTGAAGCGTTAAGTAGTAAGGGTTACGCGTTCAGCGTTTAATGTTATGTGTTAAGTGTTGCGTGGCACGTGAATCTAGATCCTAAACTCGAGCGGCCTGGAGAATGAACACGTGTAGGACTTTGTAAACTCTCATCAATTATTTAAAGAATCCTAACGGTTGGTTACTATCACTTTCACTTCGCATTTTTTTTTACAATTCGATTGAATGGGCGGATAAATTGACAAACAAATAAATATTAGAAACATTGCTGCTGCGTCAGTGGGAGGAATAACTTAGTTTATTTACTGAGTTGATAATGTAAATTTCTTAAGCTGACATTTCGAGCGTTAGTCCTTCGTCAGAGGTGCACATGCGTGCATCACTCACCTGCCGGTAGGAAACAATTCCTGAATGACTAAAATAGAAGTCCCACAAGCCACCTTGGCTAAAATGCTCATCGACGCAAAGACGAACGCACCGGACTCTTTATTGTCTCCGACCAGCTTACCAGCCAGAGCCAATGACGTCACGTACATCACAGAACTACCGCATCCTACAAGGATCGCAGCGCAGTAGGCCGCGTTCTTTCCCGATTCGTCTTGAAGGTAAAACCAAGCTGAGGATCCTACCACCAGAGAGGCGGCAAAGCAGTATGTCCACTGTTAAGAGGAGCGGTTGAGTATGCAAATTAGCAAGGCAATCTACTACAATCCAATGTAAAGCTCTAGGCTCCCAAGCTTTAGGTTAATAACCTACTTATTTTGATGTCATTACCACTCACTTTGTCTCCAAGCATTTTGTCGAGTTTCTTCGCGGCTAAGCTCGAAATTACACTGCTGAGCAAGATCACTAGAGGGAAATAAGCGATGGATTCCTTCAAGAGAAAAAGGTATATTCATATTTTTAATCATTCTGTAGATCTTAGAGGAACTAAAACGAAGATGGATGTAATGGCATAGCAGACTGCCTCTTTCTCACAGCTCATCATACTCCCCAAGGCCTTTCCCCTCGCCCTTCACTTCGTATCCATCACTCCTTATTATGCCTCGGTCCAAATTGTACATTCCTCTCACTTAGTTTCGTACCCGGATCCGTGTAACTAAAATATCAAGTTTGGCCGTGAGAGGTCTGGGTAAGAGGATAACTTTCCCCCAAAACGTCCTTCTCCCAACACCCCTGAACTCTACCTCCGCATCCATCACCACTCATGTCCTTTTCCTAACCCCAATTTAACAAAGCCCCATCTATCATCCTTTCCTCCTCCTTCCATCTTTTCTTATTTTACTGTGACAATAAAGTCGAGGAATAAGAAAGTAGCGATAACCTTTTCAAATCCGAGGGTTTCCGTCAAATAAAGTGGAACGTACGAAGAGCTGACTACTTGAACGAGGCGCGCACACATGAAGGCAAAAGAGATCTGTAAAAAAAGAAAAAGCGAGAATATTTTTTGATGCGATCAAGGTTGTTTATTAAATGTTTTCGGGCAGACCCCTCCTGTTATTTGAGATAAGTTACCACCAACGTTTATCCAATTAGACGTGAATTTTTCGAGCCAAGCTCTCCGCAGCCTAATACATTCTTATCGATTGAAAACACTTCCCAAAATTACCTTATAGAACAGTGGAGTTTTAAACCAATAAGACCAGCTCTTGTTAGTTTTACTACTCTTCGTTCCCTGATCATTCAATATCTCTATTATAAAACTGTCTCCACTGAAACTCGCATCAGTCGTCTTGGAGAGCAAGCCTCCGCGGCTGCTATAAGACGAAAGGGACCTGTGTCCAACGTAGAAAGAGCTGGATTCCATTGCAATATCATCCTGTTTGGCAAAGTCGAGTTTTTCTGTCTCGAGGTTTGATTTGGTATGGGAACTTTCGAAACAGTCAACAGGATAATAATTTTCAGGCGATGAAGCGTATCCTTCGCTGGCGTCGCTGCAATCAGATCTGTTACTCTGACGTTCAGCCATCACCTGCACCTCATTTCCGTCCTCGCTGTTCACTTGATCTGTTTCTGGCGAACTTGTTACACCATTGTCACTTTGTTTATCCTGGCTTTTAAAGGCAGGATTTGAGAAACTAAATTCGTTTGTTATCCTATGTTTTTCTTGCGTTTGA